GAATGAGTATGTAACTCATTCAGTCAAAATTGCGAGCGAGAGAAGAATGTAAAGGCATGCGAAGGGTACCTAGTTGACAAATTAACAATAAAATCCTACAACGTTGTGAAATTATTATAATTAACGTGATTTTAGGGTACGCTTGTTAAGCACGAACAAAAAAGCTAAATAAATGCATTCGAATCCCAAAACGCCCTTAGAAAAAACACGATAAGTATATATCTTGCTAAATTTCCCGCGCCCATTATGAACATTGTTCCGAGAACGCCGCCGTGGTTGCCAATAGAAACGTGTGGAAGAATGATAAGAAAAAATGGCAGCTCAAGTTATTATCCTCAAGAAAGAACGGTGTTGTTTACCCTCGAAAACGAGGAAAAGCACGCGCTGCGAAGGAATATCAAACTAAATCAATGTAGACGTAGAGGGGGAAATTTAATAATGGAGTTACGTGGTTTTACAAGTTGGAGAGCCATTAACGCAAAAATATCCGAATTCCGGGGAAATCCAGTAACACGTGTTTGTAATAAACGTAACGAATTAAGTGTTGTCGGCTACATTTGAAAAGGTTAACAAGATTTGTATTTATAAAACGGGTTCAATTCAACCCTGTAAAAATGAATTTTATTTTTACGCCAAAGCGCATTAAGGTAGTACTGGGACATTTTTTCCATTGTAATACCTATTATTATGTTATTTTGCAACAAAAATAGATATTCTGATATTCTATTGTCGCTATACCAAAGGCAAATGACGCTCATATGAATCAGTCAGCTAATCTCCTTTAAGACTATTCCCACCACTCGTTCCCACCACTTCAACTCTTGTGTAGCCACGAACTACAGCTTCACCACCAATAAGAACACAGTAATTGAAGGTTAAACTGGTGTTCCTGGGGGATAGTTAACCTGTCATTGGACCCGCAACTAAATAAGAACATAGGAGGAGTTTGAAGCTAAGGTTCGACTTCTCTCCAGTGCAAAGCGGATGACCGCCTATAGCCTGTAGATTTTTTTAACCAAATGGTTTCATAATGACCTTTAGTCTCCATGAATGTGAGAGCATATCTAGCCAAAGGGCAGGTTTCCACAGTCTCCACAGTTGATAGATTTTAAGTATACTTACCAACCAACCACGTTTGACACAAGAGATCTCAATTTTCGAGTGTATTTGTATTCGACCGAGTGTACAGAATTGGAGTCTGGATATCGGGTTCGACGGCGAAATTGAGTGAATACAGGATTGTTTTTTGCTCCATTTTTTTTCAGTTGAATTTGGCATGAATTTGTTCTCGTTTTGAGGTGAAGTGTACCGGAATATGGTTACATTTTTTGTATAAATATTGAGAGATTTGTGGCAGAATTAAATAACTTTTTTATGAATTTAATTATTAACGCGATTCTGACCGCACAGCTTCGCTGGCATGGATTTTAGATATTTTTTCATGTTTTTTTTTGCAGGAGCTTTAGTAAATAAGCCTAAATGGACAAGTTTTTTTGCATTATAACAACACAGTAACTGGCAACACTGAAAGCTGATGCTGCACTATATAAGTATTATTAACATTAATGTATTGGGGAAGCGATTAGTTGCAGCAACAACCAACTGTCTTATATCCGAGGCAATTAGAACACACGTGGCACTTGTGTAGGTGCCCACTTATTAGTAAAATGTGCCTTTAATAATCCTCCTTCAGGCGCAGTCGGGTAAAAAGGCTTTGCGCATTTTTTTCAAGAAGTACGACTTTTTCTCTATAGTATTTGACACTAGTTCTAATGGAGTTAAAAAGGTTTAGTTTTGTCTGCGACTAATAGATGGCATTGTATGCTTTTACATCGCGCTGACGTCGTTCTATTGGCAAGATTTGACAAACACAATAAAGTGAGAACATAATAAAATGGTATATTTTATTGTAGGTATAACTCAGAGAATAGTAGCTAATAAGTTTTATTTACAAGGGGCTTGTTTTTAAGGCAATTGGTCCACTTTATGCTACTCCCCCCTATTTATCATGGTCACACTGCTGCAATAAAGCAGGTCAACGACTTGGTCACAACAAATCAACTCAACCAAAATATCTCAATTGATTTTTGACCTTAGATCGACGAACATAGAGTTCCAAATCCGTTATTTGGATGTAAATACATGTTCCACGTAGTATAGGCAGTAGGACTTAGAATTCGCAACAACCTGCGAACATTCTACTCAAGTTTGCAAACTCAAATACGAAAACGTGTTCAAGACAGAGTGGATGCAGCCCGATTAACCCTTCACCTGGTGGTGTTGATTGCTGCCATCGCATTTTGAACTTTATTTAGCTGTAACTAGGTTTAAAATAAAGGTTTATATAACTGTATTTTGCTAATACTGGTTAAACATTTAATTGGAATGGCAAACATGCAGTATAAGTTTTATAGCCTATTTCCAATAGTAATAATATTAATTGATTAATGTTGGTAATATTAATGTAACTAGGCTATTTCCAAAGGCTAATCTTCTATAGTTCGTGTTAATTTAAAAGCCTTTTTCATCAATGAATGTTTATGAAGTGTTCAGCAACGAATCACAAGTTTATCATTTGTGTGTATTCATGTTTTACTGAAATATGTATTTTTTTTTCAGACGACAGTACATGGAGCTTAAAAAGTTGTGACCTTATTTTATATATTTAAACTTTTGCACATAAAAGTGATTAGTGNTAAGGGTTAAAAATAAAGATGGCAGCAAATCCGTGTTAAATCATGTCGCAGTGCAAATAAACGGAAAATGAAATTACTCGTACACAAAAAATCTATACTAATATTATAAATGCGAAAGTAACTCTATCTGTCTGTCTGTCTGTCTCTCTTTCACGCCTAAACCACTGAACCGATTTTGATGAAATTTGGCATATTTTGAGTTTGAGATAGTTTGAGTCCCGAGAAAGGACATAGGATTTTTTATCCTGGTTTTTGAAACAGGAACGCGCGTGATAAAGTTTTTCTGTGACAGACAAAATTCCACGCGGGCGAAGCCGCGGGCTAGTCTTCTATAAGGTTTACTTAAGACTGTTATACCCCAAACAATTATTTACTTTAGTTAAGCCAGCACTCGTGTGGTCTTTTCCTAAGAATGCGAGTGTGCACAGCAAAACTTTCTAGGAAATTTCAACGAGACGTGTAAATAACAACTAAGTGCTATCCGATTCGGTTCCGATTCCTTTTAGGGGACACAAAGGAATGTATTTACAAGGTCGTTGTGCACCACATTTTAACTTTTGTCTACTTGATTTCAAGTGAAAGAGGTCTGGAGAAAGCAATGCGTGTTACTACTACGTGGAAGAAACCGTTATTTGGTTTTACATGTCTCAGAAATTATTATTGTGAAAAATCACTTTTTATTTAAACAATTTGGGTGTAATCATTAGTAGCTTTACATACTGGTACTTCTCGTTTTTTAAAAGCCGACTAAGGGACAAATATGAGAATATCAGGCCTTACCAACCAGTCAGGCCAGGAGGGAAGTGTATGCAAAATCCTCCATTTGCTTCTGGTAATTTCTAAATTATCCATTCTAAAAATCTTCTCTCTAGAGAAGAGACGAAATGACTTGGTGATGATAATATTATAATGAGCATGTTTTAATATTTCCAGAAGTTTGAAAACTTACTACTACTGCTACTACTTACACACTTACCTAAAACAAATTAATAAATCCAAACTAACTCTGACAGCGATGTATTCCATTTACATTTGTGTGTGTGTACATTATTCTCCATTAAAATACTGTTTTACACTGTAAACAAGTAAAAACGGTTGGAAGCACAATGACGATATTTATTTGTAATTTTATGGGATCTGTAAAAATGTAAAACACAAGCCATTCCATATCCCGCCATCAATCTTGCTTCCCCGTAATCGTCTTCGTCATCACTCAGATACGAAATCAAGAAAATGTATTACTGGGGGTTCATTTAACCCTACTTCCATAGTAGTGATGACAACAGAGGGCGCATCGGCGGGGGAGCGCGGGGTCCCCGCGCCTACACATAAATACGCTGCCGCAACCGCGGCCGCCGCTCANGGTTGCGCCGCGGGCGGGTGATAGGTCTTAGCCCATCATACCATACAGCAGGGCGTAGCTTGTCGGTACGGCCTCTGTATAAAGCCTCGATTCACACAGTAGTGATGACAACAGAGGGCGCATCGGCGGGGGAGCTACACATAAATACGCTGCCGCAACCGCGGCCGCGGCTCACTCACTCCGTACGACCATCGCGCGCGCATCTTAGTCTTGCTGTAATAATATAACCAGTTCAAAAATACAGTTTTTTCATTATAAATCTCCTGTAGGGTTCGAAGTTAGGCTCAACTTAGACCTACGGGGAACATATGGTCCTTCGATCCTCAACGTAAAGTACGCGAGAAATTCCGGTGCGACACGTCTTCNCCGCGCCTACACATAAATACGCTGCCGCAACCGCGGCCGCCGCTCACTCACTCCGTACGACCATCGCGCGCGCATCTTAGTCTTGCTGTAATAATATAACCAGTTCAAAAATACAGTTTTTTCATTATAAATCTCCTGTAGGGTTCGAAGTTAGGCTCAACTTAGACCTACGGGGAACATATGGTCCTTCGATCCTCAACGTAAAGTACGCGAGAAATTCCGGTGCGACACGTCTTCAAATTTGAATACTGCAAACGTCAACGGTCCGTCCGGTTCCGCAAGCAATACGACAAGTGCAAGATATTTGCACAACGGCAGCCCTCGACGGTTCCTGGTCATCAGCAGAGCAGTATCAACGCCGAGATCATCGTCTACGTGCAGCCCAGGGCCAGCATCGAAGATCCAGCGTCCAGGAAACGTCAGCATTCAGCGTCAGCGCTCATCGGCGTTCAGTGAAGAGGAGTCATCAGCGAAAAGAAGAAAGGATAAGTTGCGCCATAGCACGAAACCGTGAGATCGATCCATTTTCTTTCTTTTTTTTCCCATCACATCACATANGTAGGGTTCGAAGTTAGGCTCAACTTAGACCTACGGGGAACATATGGTCCTTCGATCCTCAACGTAAAGTACGCGAGAAATTCCGGTGCGACACGTCTTCAAATTTGAATACTGCAAACGTCAACGGTCCGTCCGGTTCCGCAAGCAATACGACAAGTGCAAGATATTTGCACAACGGCAGCCCTCGACGGTTCCTGGTCATCAGCAGAGCAGTATCAACGCCGAGATCATCGTCTACGTGCAGCCCAGGGCCAGCATCGAAGATCCAGCGTCCAGGAAACGTCAGCATTCAGCGTCAGCGCTCATCGGCGTTCAGTGAAGAGGAGTCATCAGCGAAAAGAAGAAAGGATAAGTTGCGCCATAGCACGAAACCGTGAGATCGATCCATTTTCTTTCTTTTTTTCCCATCACATCACATATCATCCGCTTTGCGAACCCACATCCAAGCTTCGCAATCACTTCTTTCATAATCCATTTCGTAAAATCATCACCCATTTTTCATCTCTTCCGTATCAGTAGTTAGCAAAATCCTCATTTTCAAAACTCATTTACTAAGTCTACCTTCACATTGAATAACTTGTAACGTATTTTCTCAACTGTGGTGTCTGTCAAGCTTTGCAGTAAAATCAAACAATAAAACATTTGGTAAAATATAGTTTATTAAACATAATTTTCAAATCATAAAATCAGCAAACATCAATTCATCATAATAATAACAATATTGTGTATTCTGCTTCGCATTAACACTACGTAGATAGCCACTAATACTACACAAATTGTCTTTCCTTGTTTTAATTTGTTTTTTTATTTTTTTTATTTCTAGGTCGGTAGACACCGAGTCGCCGACACGGCTCGGGAGTCGTGTGCTATCTTCACAAGTCAACATCTCGGTCGTACCTCGGTTGTACCGTTCCTATTAATTTCTTTTTATTTTTTGCAAAACACTTGATACTACGTAACGATTTTTTTAATATTTACATCATACTTATTCTACTTAACTTATACAAAACCCTTAAACTTACATATTCTAATTTGACAATACAAAAAAAAGTAAATTACAATCTTAAACATATAATTAATTCAAGTCCTTAAAGTAAATATATCAATCAATCATAACAATGTCTGAAGCAAAAATATCACAATTAGTTAAAAGGCGTGGAACAATAAAAAGTAAAATCACTAGCTTTTCAAATTACATAAATGTAGTAAAAGATGATTCAGTGTTGCCAAATTCCCCGCTTTTTAACGAAATTAAATTACGTCTTGAAAAGATTGATGCCTTATATGAGGACTTTGATACTCTTCAGACGGAGATTGAAGAGCTTACGGAGGATCCCGACCTGAGATATCAGGAGCGGGAGGCCATCGAGAACCAGTACTACGTCGCGATCGGCACGGCGAGGGCACTGCTCGAGCCGTCCCCTGCGGCCGCTGCGCTCGCGCTCAACGGTTCTGAGGTAAGCTCTCTTGATGCAAGCACACAAAGACACAACAATTTCGTAAGATTGCCTAAAATTGAATTGCCTACCTTCAACGGGGACTATCAGCAGTGGCTCGAGTTTCGCGATACATTTGTTTCTATTATTCATTCCAATGATAGTATGGACGAAATTAATAAATTTCATTACCTTCGCGCTTGTTTAAGAGAAAGTGCTTCATTAGTAATTAAAAGCCTGGATTTCAAGGCCAATAATTATACGGCTGCTTGGGAATTGTTGTGTAAACGATACGACAACAAACGCCTGCTTGTCAATAATCATGTGCAATCACTCTTTAACATAAATGCTATACAAAAGGAATCGAGCAAGGCTTTGCGATACATAGTAGATATCACAAACAAAAACCTACGTGCCTTGGCTACCCTAGACCAGCCTACAGAACATTGGGATACCTTGATCATTTACATGATGTCTACTAAATTAGATAGTACTTCAAACAGAGAATGGGAGGAATTTCGCAATAATCGTAGTGACCCACCCACACTAGACATTTTTTTAACATTTTTGTCAAACAGGGCTGACCTTTTGGAGACATTAGAGGAGACAAGAAATAAAGGTAAAATTGATCAGGCACCTACAACCAGGGCTAAAAGCTTCATTGTATCTTCTAGCAAGCCCAAATCTCATTGCTGTCCTCTATGTCAAAAGGAACATCAACTGTTTTCCTGTGACTCATTCCGTAGGTTACCTGTTGAGACACGCATACTTAAGGTAAAAGAATACAAGGTTTGTCAAAACTGCCTTCGACCAGGTCACAACGAGTCACGCTGCAAGCTGTCACATTGCAAGTATTGTAATATAAAACACAATACTCTTTTGCACAAAGGTTCACCCCAAGAGACAGTTTCCCATGACAGCATCGTACTTTCTGCCAATTCTTCACAACACAAAAACTGTGTCAATAACACATGTCATATATTGCTTTCCACAGCTCTGGTCAACGTGATCGACAAGCGTGGAAAATCGCATCCAGCCAGAATCCTGCTAGACAACGGCAGTACGGGTAACTTCGTCACACAAGATCTCTGTGGCAGACTGAACCTCCCTACCCGCCTAGCTAGTTCAAAGGTAACAGGCATAAACAACCAAACGTCCAAAAGCACTCAGTCTTGCTCTCTTACATTAGAGTCTTATAATGGTCACTATAGAACCAATATTGATTGCTTCGTTCTTCCACAAATAACTTCGTTATTACCAAACACATACATAGACATACACGATCTAAACATACCATCTGGAGTTTGTCTAGCCGATCCAAACTTCAACGTACCGTCAACCATCAATTTACTAGTAGGTGCGGACGTCTTTTGGAGTGTGATTGGTACAAATCGCATCCAGTTAGGTAAAAACAAGCCGGTTCTATTCGAAACTAAGTTTGGATGGCTAGTTTCAGGCGCCATAAGCCAACCGGGTCCTAGTAATCATGTGTGTATGCACATCAATAGTAATCAAGACCAGTCTGATCTGACCCGCTTCTGGGAGTTGGATACAATTCCACCCCAATACAAACACACACTAGATGAGCTTCAGTGTGAAAAACATTTTTTAGAAACCACCATACGAGATAGTAACGGTCGCTTCATAGTTTCAATGCCACTCAATGACTCACCAGACGTACTTGGGGAGTCATTATTTATTGCAAAACGTAGATTCTTATCTCTTGAACTTCGTCTGGAAAGAGATCCTAGTATGAAACACTTATATTTACAATTTATGACTGAATACTTGGATCTAGGTCACATGACCGAAATAATACCTAAATCCAACACTAAGTATTGTTATTTACCACATCATGGTGTCTATAAGGAGAGTAGCTCCACTACAAAATTAAGAGTAGTGTTCGACGCGTCAGCCAAAACGTCGTCCGGTAAGTCATTGAACGACATACAACGCGTAGGGCCTACTATTCAGGATGAAATATTTCCCATATTATTACGTTTCCGTCAACATCAGTTTGTCGTGTCAGCTGACGTCGAAAAAATGTATCGACAAATCAACATTACACAAGATCAACGTCCACTACAATGTATATTGTGGAGATTCGACCCTTCACATCCTCTCAAAACATATACACTGAACACTGTAACATATGGCACAGCCTCAGCTCCATTTTTAGCCACCAGATGTCTGTCACAGTTAGGCTATGACACGACAGACCCTTACGTTAAACGAGCTATTTGTCAAGATTTCTATGTAGATGATTTTCTATCAGGGGCTGACTCTATTCAAGACACAATAAATTTATGCAAAAATGTCACTAATTCATTAAATTCAGCTAAATTTTACTTAAGAAAGTGGCATTCTAATAATGTTGAAATTTTAAATGCAGTGTGTGGTCGAGACGCCAGTTCAGACCACCTAAATCTCAGCTACAAAGAGGCAGCCAAAACACTGGGTCTCTATTGGAACTGTTCGGCTGACACTCTCTCATTTTCAATTAATTTAGATTCCACACAAACAATAATTACAAAACGTCTCATTTTGTCCACAATCTCTCAGGTGTTCGACCCACTGGGACTCGTGTCACCTTGTATCGTCGAAGCAAAGGTACTTATACAAAATTTGTGGTTACAAAAATGCTCATGGGACGAAGAAGTACCTTTAGACATTAAAAAATCATACATAGAATTTGCAAGTTCATTAATTAATTTAAAATATTTACAGATACCTAGATGCATAAAAATTCACCCATCCATTAATACACAAATACACGTATTTACAGATGCGTCTGAAAAGGCGTACGGTGCCTGTGTTTATATACGAAGTGTGGATGAAAACGATTGTGTTAATGTTCAATTATTAACATCAAAAAGCAAGGTAGCACCTATTAAAACCGCCACTATGCCGCGGCTNCGGTCACTAAATCTAAGGCGGTTTCTGACAATGTCCTTTTGCTTGAGGGTTCCTTTTAGAACGTAGGTGCTCAGTAAGAACGGATTTTACCCAACGGAATCACGCGTACGAAGTCGCGGGCAGCCGCTAGTGTTAAATAAAATCGTTCTCACCGCTATCCGACCAACCCAAGCTCTACCTTTCGCGATAAATTTTCGTTAATTACAGAACAAAGATGGCTCAGAAAATAAATATATTGTAGCCCCGTAAATATCGCGTTACTACCTTTTATTTGGCAGCAGCTCTTACAAATGGACTCCCATAAAATATACCGGGATACCTTACCTCAAGTCTTTGAGGTAATATTTAATACTACATTATGTCTCTGGGGTAATATTAGTAATGGCGGGGACTATTCCCACTTCGAGTTCCCACTAGTACTACTCCAGTACCGAGGATTTACAGTTTGAGCGCCAGTAAAAACTCAATCAGTGAGGATCTGGAGATGGAGATAAAAAATATTTTGATTTTATTCCACGATCTATTAACCTTTCGCTAAGTTATGCAATATTTTAAAAAGGGTTGAGAACCCCTTTCATCCTTTTAAAATTTTGCATAACTGATATTTTTTAGACGTAATTACAAGTTTTAAATAAAGCATTAAGCAGAAGGTTCTGGAATGGAGGCCGCGTACCGGAAAACGCAGCGTGAGACATCCACCTACAAGGTGGCCTGACGACATCATAAAGGTAGCAGGGAAGCGCTGGACGCAGGCCGCTACCAATGGATCAACATGGAAAGCATTGGGGGAGGCCTATGTTCAGTAGTGGACGTCCTATGGCTAAAAGCTAAATTAATGATGATGATGATAAAATAAAAATGTCAAAATTTTTATTTTGTTTACAGGTGGGTATTTTGTACATCCATCTATTTCTGTTTGGTCCAAAGGTTGACTGGGATATCCATCAGAGTTCTACTTGGATTAAATGTATCTAGGTAGCATTAGCAATCAGTCACAGTGATAAAATAAATCAAACGGGCCCAAAGTAAGAATATCTGTAACGAAAAAAAATCTCACCCATGCTACAATGATAACTTTCAAGAATACAAAATTAATCCACGTCTCTTTCTCAAAACCGTTCATCTGGAAAAAGCGCAAAGACAATCTCCTGCGATCACCGCTCATAATGGTATCAGCCGGTACAATTGATCAAACTCGGAATATCCCGGCCAACCGCCTGTCCTGTCTGATTAAATTCGCCTTGTACACCCGTAGTGATGGCGAAATATCGATAGATATTTGTCGATGTTATCGTGAGTGAACGCAAAAGCAATGCGGAGTTTGGGCAAGCACATACAGTTGCTTCACAAGTACACAAGGTGCTGTGCAACAGCGAGTTCGAATGCGAATGTGAATTTATTAACTTAAAGTACCTACTAATATCCTACTAATATTATAAATGCGAAAGTTTCTGTGGATGTTTGTAACTCTTTCACACAAAAACTACTGAACGGATTTTGATTAAACTTTACAGTATTAATCTTTATAACCCAGAATAACATATAGGCTATAATTTATTAAGCTCTGTGACAAACTAAATTTCACGCGGGTGAAGCCGCGGGCAAAAGCTAATAAGTAATCAAATCTACCCTTTGGGGGTCTCACCAAACGTTGGAATCATTACGGAGTGATAAAAAATTTAGCGTCATGGCTTATTTGCATCGTCTCCTCCACGGAAACAGATGACCTTGGAAATTAACAATGTGTCGGCAAAGGATAGGATTTTTTTTTTTTTTACATTTTTCGGTGGTTTCGAACACATTACAGAAAGATATAGTGTTAAGAGTCACATGAGGCGTCAGGGATTGGGACCAGCTCCCCGATGGCTGGCTTACTGTGTAGAAAGGGACCACCTCTTCTGATTAATTTCGTTGCGGGTCCAATGACAGTTTAACTTTCCCCCGGGACAAACTTGACCTTCATTGGTTGGGTTTTTGTGGCGGTCAAGCTGTAGATCCTGGCTACACAGGAGTTGCAGTGGTGGGAACGAGAGGTGGGAATAGTCCCGTAAAGGATAGGATTTCAATGCTCTTAATTACTTCTAGTTATTGTATGTTATAGCATGTAGAAAATACAGAAATTAGATTAAATACCACACACAAAAATAAGATCAATAACCAAAGCAACAAATGCGCTAAATTACGCACAAAAACTTAAGTGAAAATGGGCGGGTCATGTCGCAAGGCTTAAAGACCAGAGATGGACCATAAAAGCGACCTTCTGGAAAGTACCTCCAGGTAAAAGGAACAGGGGAAGACCATTTTATTTATTGTATGTTAAGCATAATGACTCGAGGGAAAGAGGACAGTCCCTCTAAAATTAACGAAATATAAAATATCGATAAGCCATTTCCCATCACTATCAACCAGATTTATATTCTCGCGGGGAGCTCAATTCAATGATTCCGATCGGCGGGCGGTGTTGCGGCATTGATAAACTCTGCCTTTGTAAGGCTTCAGGGAAAGGCAGTTCGTTTCCGATACCGTGAAGACCGGAAACGGAAATGTGTTTTTAGAAAACATTTTTAGAGGTCTACGAGGGGCGGCTGAAAAGTTTTGAGCCTAAGTATCTTCAAGTGCTATTATTGAGTCGCTTTAAATTTATTTAATTTGCCAATAATCTCCTTAGTATATGTGCAAAGTTTCATTTCATTAGCGTCATCGCGCTTTTAGTAATTAATCAGTAAACATCATCATGTCTCAGTCATCCGCGCAATGTACGAAATCGAAGTACACAGTTGCCATAAAACTCCTCAAAAAGAGGAACAAAACGCTGACGGTAACATTTGAAGAGATGTCTACAGTTTATGGGGAGTCTGGGTCTTCATTTGCCATCATGAAATATTGGATCCGATAGTTCAAGCATGGCAGGGAGTCTCTAAAAGATGACCGCAAGTCAGGGCGGCCAGATTTCGCCATTAACGAATAAAATAATGAAAACTTAAAAAATCTTGCTTTAGAGATCAGCGAATTAAGTTGTGACAGATAGCTGAAGCCATAGGCATTAACAAAGAACGTAACGGCGATATTTTTCATACTCATTTGCACATGAAATAGGGGTGCGCGCGATGGGTGCCAAAAATGCTCTCGCCGCTCGACAACCACCGTCGAGTCACAACTTCGCAGGAGTTTTAGGACATCTTTGACAATAATCCTAACAATTTTTTTTCTTACATTATCACTATTGATAAATAATAGATCCGGCAGTACGATCTAGAGTCAAAATAAGAGTCACTGCAATGGATTCAAAAGGGAAAACGCTGCCGCGGAAATTCAAAGTGGAGCGATCGACACCCAAGCTCATAGCCACTATTTTTGGGATTGTGAAGGAATTTTATTCATTGACTACCTACTTAAAAAAAACTACAATAAACGGGGACTNCACAAAAACCGATTGTTATCATTGACTCCATTTATGGATCCCAATAATCTCATAAGAGTGGGCGGCAGGCTTAGTGATTCTCACTACGATTACAACGTTAAGCACCCCATTCTCTTGTGCAGTAAACATCGTCTATCCCAACTTATATTCGAATCATTGCATAAAACCTATTTACATTCAGGGCCTCAATTGTTATTAGCCACAGCACGTCATAATTATTGGATCTTAGGAGGCACCAGGCTCGCAAAGCGCATTGTACGAGCATGTGTTAAATGTTGTCGTTTTGAAGGAAAAACCATTCAGCCTATCATGGGCAACTTACCTAACAGCCGACTACATTTAGAATATCCTTTTCTAGAAACAGGTGTAGACTACGCCGGGCCAGTGCTGATAGCAGACCGTAAGGGGAGAGGCTGTAAATTGGTAAAATGCTACATTTGTGTCTTTGTTTGTTTAGCCACCAAGGCGCTGCATCTGGAGCTTGTCTCAGACCTAACAAAGGAAGCTTTTATTGCGGCTCTTAACAGATTTATAGCGCGACGGGGCAGGCCGCAGAGGATATTTTCGGACAACGGAACCACCTTTGTAGGGACCTTTAATGAATTATCTAGCCTACTCAGAGACCCGTCGCTGTCAGCACATCTAACCGACAAAGGTATCGATTTTTCCTTTATTCCTGCTTACACTCCTCACTTTGGCGGATTGTGGGAGTCGGCAGTCAAATCAATTAAGCACCACCTACGTCGCATTCTAGAACTGACGCACCTGACATTTGAGGAAATGGCGACTCTGCTGATACAGGTAGAAGCTATTCTAAATTCTCGTCCTATCACTCCTATATCTAACGATCCCTCAGATCTTACTTGCCTCACTCCTGCCCACTTTCTAATTGGACGATCAATCGTTTCTTTGCCTTGCCCGCAACTTATTGAAAAGCGCATCACATCACTTCAACGATTCCAACGCATTGAAGCGCTAAAACAACATTTCTGGGCACGATTCCATAATGAATATGTTTTCTGGCTGCAGAGGAAGACACGGTGGCACACGTCACACGGGGAGCTGCGAGAGGGGTCACTTGTCCTTATCAAGGACAAGTCTGCACCTCCATTGATGTGGTCGCTTGGCCGCATCCTCCGAACGTTGCCTGGCAGAGACGGCATAGCCAGGGTCGCCGACATCAAGACAAAGAAGGGCGTTCTTCGTCGCGCCTACAACACCATCTGTCCGCTGCCAACAACATCAATTGAAGACGAGGCTTCAAGGCGGGCAGTATAGTGATGACAACAGAGGGCGCATCGGCGGGGGAGCGCGGGGTCCCCGCGCCTACACATAAATACGCTGCCGCAACCGCGGCCGCCGCTCACTCATTCCGTACGACCATCGCGCGCGCATCTTAATCTTGCTGTAATAATATAACCAGTTCAAAAATACAGTTTTTCATTATAAATCTCCTGTAGGGTTCGAAGTTAGGCTCAACTTAGACCTACGGGGAACAGTGATGTTACAGTTCTTACTCGTATATACTTTAGCCCCTACAAATATGTTACCCCGTTTTACCCCGGGATTGAAATTTTCAAAATCCCATCTTAGTGAGAACCTACGTCCTAAAAGGAAACTCTATGAAAATTTTAGACTCCTAGTACTAGTAATTTCTGAGATTTCGTGATGAGTGAGTGAGTCAGTCAGTCATTTAGTCAGTGACCTTTTATACAGGGTGTTAGGTAAATGGGTATGTGAGCCGACACTAGCCCATGTTAACATTTAAATGGTATGGTGAAGTCAGAAATTTGATATCATCATTTTTTTTTATTTTCATACAAATCGGAATTTATAAAATTTATTTTGTATGAAAATTAAAAAAATAAAATGATGATAATAATATCAAATTTCTGACTTCACCATACCATTTATATGACCATGTTAACATGGGCTAGTGTCGGCTCATATAGTCATTTACCTAACACCCTGTATGGATTTTGCAACAAAAATGAACAGCTTGATGTGCTGCCGTCCGTACAACTGGTTAATTAAAGTACTGCATGTTTTATGTGTGTGTGCTTGCCTATGTTTTTACTCTTTCTCACGTTCCCCACTCTAGAAAGGGATGTAAACACACCATCATCAGTGCTTACTGTTTGTTTACAGCTCACATTACCGTCCCTATAACGTTTTCTTTTGAGAGACCATTTGATGTTAACGATGATTACTTCCGGCGAGCCTTTGAGAGCGACCTTAATTAACGCATGCGCGAAATACGTAGGTTACTGCATTTCCGTTTCCGCTTCTGTTGAACCAAAAAGGTAGTTAAAAACTAGTTAGTTTTACTTCTGTTTAATTTTGTTGCGATCTAATAATAATTTTAATGTGATTGGTGTGACTTGGCTTGACGTCACTAATCGATTCATAGGATGACAAGCAGTACATTATTCAACCTAAAAATAGGCTCATAAAAATATTAATACTGTTAAAGACAAGAACCATGACTGTCCAAGATGGACCGACGACCACGACCTCGCTGTAGGCTGAAATGATGATGTTAAATAATCCTTAATGCTGAGTGGGGTCCCGTTGCAGTGGGCATCTGGTTGGTGAATGGGTGGCACTGCTCAGTTTACTCTTGTTTTTTATTTTTTTCTTCTTCTATTGTTATGTGCCACTGTCATGTCTATGTATGTAATTACCTGTATTTGTGTGATGTCCATTGTAATAAATGTATCTTTCTTTCTTTTTTCTTTCTTTCTTTAACGTGCCCTTTTGAGCCATACAAGGTTTTGAGATAAACATTTGAATATTGCTGAAAAGCATATTCACGAAGCTCTGAATATCAAATAAACTTCGCGACGCGTAAAGGCTTAATGTCTTCAACTTTTAGGCCAATAAATTTCAGACGCTGAATACATTTTCTTTTAGAGAAATGGGTATTCAAGTATATCTTTTATAGAGTAGGTAAACGTATATTCAGCTAGGCAAATTTTACACTTGGCCAAGACAAGTAACTATTACCTATTCATCATCATCATCATCATTTCAGCCATAGGACGTCCACTGCTAAACATAGGCCTCCCCCAATGCTTTCCATGTTGATCGATTGGTAGCGGCCTGCGTCCAGCGCTTCCCTGCCCTGTGCTACCTTTACGATGTCGTCGGTCCACCTAGTAGGTGGACGTCTCACGCTGCGTTTTCCGGTACGCGGCCTCCATTCCACAACCTTGCTGCCCCATCGGCCGTCAGTTCTGCGTACTATGTGCCCTGCCCATTGCCACTTCAGCCTGTTAATCCATCGTACTATGTCGGCGACTTTAGTTCGTTTGCGGATAATATTATATTATACGGAAACGTGGCCTCTCACTGTAGGCCTTATACAGAAGCTCAAAGTTGCACAGCGTGCTATCACAGTGCTATGGAGAGGGCTATGCTTGGTGTTTCTTTGCGAGATCGAATGAGAAAGAAATGAGGTATATCTGTTACGGTTAATGTGATAAATTGAAAATTATTAATAATAACCGGTTATTATGAATAATTACCGACAGTCGCGGTAAAAGTGATAAATTAATCACATTTAACAGTGATTATTTAATAATTCAACCTTAGTACTAACAAATTTCTTAAAAGAGAACAACATCTTGTGTACGTGCTCGTGTACAGCCAAACTTTTGAACGTTTTGATATCATATATTAATATAATTGGGCATAATGAGTTTGGACTGTTTCTTGCATAATATTACTTTTCCATGATGCCTATAACATAATGTTTTGATTTAAAGTGAAAAATAGGTTAAGGTGCGGCGGGGGTGGCCCTTGGGCCACCCCTAAGCCGCCTATTTAGTTTTATACACACATAAATGACCTCATATTAATCACATTAACCAAATCATGCGGTAATTATTCATAATAACCGGCGATTATTCATAATTTTCACATTTATCACTTTGACCGTAACATATCTATTGTTACTTATTAATTAAGGACCAACTTATTATTATTCTGTGACCAAACCAACAAACATAAATTATTTAGCTTCTGTGGGGATACGAGAGTGGCTTACATCCGTTACTCATCTAAATGCCGGTAGATCATGGGAGTGTTGGATGATTATCCAAATCTGACATACCTACATTGGTACTTGTATTTAATGACAGCTGTCATTAGCGTATCTCTGCAAGAGGAGCTTCGCAAATTGGTCCCTGATTTCACTAGTGAATAATTGTTTTGTTACCTAACTGCGCCAGAAGGAGGGTTAATGTTTTTCGAGTGTATGTATTTCTATTAGTTTTTTCTTTGTAGTGTACTTAACAAATAAAGACTCACGTAAGCTAACAATATCAGATTATTTAATCACGTAGTAGGTACTCAAATTACTGGCGTGAAAATTCGTTCGCTTTTCGTCCCATTTTTCGAAACCGGACCGATTGCATGGCGCACTGTAGTTACCTTTTTACAATTCAGTGAGGCCGCCACTCAAAGGTGACGGATAGCGCGTCGGTGGCGTCGGTAACTTGCCTTGCAAATCCGTTTGATGGAACTCAAAGCGAGCGAACTTTTCATTCTCCTAGATTTTAAGGGAAATATGCAACTTGGAACAGCACAAAAATGGTCCACTTACTCTGTAAGGGGACTATTCCCACCTGTCATCATCATCATCATCATCATCATCATCATCTCAGCCATAGGACGTCCACTGCTGAACATAGGCCTCCCCCAATGCTTTCCATGTTACCCGGTTGGTAGCGACCTGCGTCCAGCGCTTTCCTGCTACCTTTATGATGTTGTCGGTCCACCTTGTGGATGGACGTCCTACGCTACGTTTTCCGGTACGCGGCCTCCACTCCAGAACCTGTGTATCCGGGATACAGATTGACCGCCAATAAAAACCCAACCAGTGAAGGTCAAGTTAGTCCCGGGGGAAAGTTAAACTGTCACCCACTCTGTAAGGAGAAATAAAACAATACTCCATAGATACAAAATCAGATATGTATCAAATCACATATCAATTTGTTACTTCCTGCGTGACACATTGAAGTTGTCCAATCAAATTAGTAATGGACTCTTATCGGAGATACTAAAGCTGCTCTTCCACTAAAGCATGAATGGAGTTGTGACGTCATAAGGTACTCATATAATATCATAATAGAGACTCATGACATGCGTAGAATTCAAGACTCGTTTCTTTTGTTCTTTCTACATAGAGACAAACGTTATACAAATGTCACTCTATCATTTTAATTCCACAAAGGCCTTACAGTTTAATGGGTAATTTTGAATGTCATGCCTTCTACACACATTGACCGCTTAACAGCGGTGGAGGAAGCACAGCCTTACCCAAATAGATTCATTTAACAGATTCTGATGCCATTAATTAATCGAATCTCATGACACTATACTTGCTACATCAAATGCTTTCAGGAATGAATCAGATATCTGTGACGGGTACGGAGTATCTCTATTCATTAAGGTAAACTGATTATTCATATGAACCTAATGTAAGTTTCAATAAACAAGTAACCTTTGATCCAATCGCCATTGCATTAGCTGGTTAATGCTTGGAAACAATTCATGGCTGAATTTTTCCTCTTCCAGGAAAATCTTTCCTTCGTCACGTACAGTGTCACGGTCGATGGGGAAATTTATTAAAAAATCTTATTAAAATTCAACCAACACGTTACGAGCTTTTTGACTGCAGATGAGCGTTTTCTTTATGATAAAAAAATACCTGAAAAAAATGTGGGTGTGTAGGTCTAGCTCTAGCTGTTTACGACGAAGATATATTGCTAGATAGGTTATTGTATCGGAAAGATCTTTCTAAGATAGTATTAAGTATTTACTATGTCATAAAATGCTATGTTTTCGGACGGATACGACCTGCAATCTTTCAAGAAGAAAGCGTATATTCTTCACCTTAAAGGCCGGCAACGCACCTGTAACGCCCCTGGGTCTGCGAGTGTCTATGGGCGACGGTAATCACTTACCATCAAGTGATCCGTCTGCTCGTTTGCCTACTGTCACATAAAAAAAAAAAACAAATAAAATTAAAAACTAACAACAAAATAATCACAATCACTACATATCTTACGATTTCTTTCTAGCATAATTCTAATTTATTAGCGCGTTTATAATATTAAATCAGTGAGTAATACATTTGTTTTTCTCGCGCATCTCAATCGCTAGTGTGGGCAATAAAGATCCCATCCCATAAAAAATATAAATGTAAAATGAGAGCCAAGTTCCTTTTGCTCACTAAATAATTGAGATCT